ACTTTATCTGATGTAAGACTAACTATTCCTCTTCTCTTTGGTTTGTATTTACATTGACTATCTTTTTTGTTTCATTCAGTTTCTTTCTATGTATGTTCTTAGAGGTGAAGTCAGTCTCTTGTATGCAGCACATAGTCCATTTTTTATTTATTCCTATTTTATTTTTACTCTTCTGTGCTGTCTTTGTCATTTTTTTACTGATATGTTTTGATTTCTCGTAATCTTTTGTGTATGTAAGGGTTTTTGCTGTGTGGTTACCATTGTTATAACAGGCTATTGTAAACTAAAAACTTAACTCTGATTGTATTAAAAAAAACATACAAAAGATGCCCCACTTTTACTCCACCCCCACACCATTTCACATATTCTGTTTTTCATGTCACAGTTTATATCTTTCTATATTGTGTATCCCACAACAAATAATTGTAGATATTATTATTTTAATGTTTTTAATCTTTTAACCTTCATACTAAAGATATAAATTATACACTTATATTACTGTGTTCTACTTTTAACAAGGCATTAAGCACACTATTAGATGTTTTCATGTTACCAAATAACATTCTCTTCTTACAGATTGAAGAACTTGCATTACAATTTCTTTTTTAAAAGTCTGATGACAATGAGTTTTCATAGCTCTTAGTTTTCTGGGGTAGTCTTGATCTCCACTTCATTTCTTAGGGAAAGTATTTCTGGGTAAATCATTTTTGGTTAACAATTTATTTCCTTCCGTGCTTTAAATATATCGTCCCATTTTCTTCTGGTCTGTAAGATTTCTGTAAAGAATTATATGGCTAATTTTATTGAAGCTTTCTTATATTTGATATGCTTTTTTTCTGTTGCCACTTTCAGGATCCTCTCTTTATGTTTGATTTATGATAGTTTGATTATAGCTTGTTTTTGTGCAGAGTTGTTTGAATTGAATATGATGGAAGAGTTTTGAACATCCCATACTTGCATATTTATATTCTCCTCAGATTTTGGGAACTATCAGCTACTATTTCTTTAAATAATATTTCTGCCCATTTGTCTCTCTTTTTTTCTCCTATAATTTAAATTAATGATGCCATACCATAAATCCTATAAGCATCCCTCATTTCCTTTGATTATTTTTTCTTGTCTCCTCTGATCATACATTTTCAAACACACTGCCATCAAATTTGTGGATTTCTTCTCCTGTTTAATTAACTCTGCTGTTGATGCCCTCCATTGCATTTTACCTTTATTATATTTTCAGCTCCAGGATTCCTTTTTTATTTGGCAATTTGAATCTCTCTCCTAAATTTCTAATTTTTGTTTGTTGCTTGCTTTATTTTCTTTGAATTTTTTCTCTGTGTTTTCTTGACATTCTCTGAGTTTTCTTACAATTATCATTTAAAACTCTTTGTCAGGAAGTTCATTGTGGGGATGGTCAGCTCTGGGGCAATTATTGTGTTCTCTTCGTGGCTATTTCTCTCTCTCTCTCTCTCTCTCTCTCTCTCCCCCTCTTTCTCTCTCTCTCTCTATCTGTGTGTGTGTGTGTGTGTGTGTGTGTGTGTGTGTGTCTCTCTCTCTCTCTAATGTTTCATGATGCTTTGCATTGTTGTCTGCACATGTGGCAAATCAGTTATCTCTTTCAAAATTTATGTTTGTTGTAATGGGGAATGACCTTCCCCCATGAGATAGGAGGGGGCTCAAGAGCACTGACTAGGTAATGTGCAGTGGTTCTGACACCAGTGAGGATGCAGCTGTGTAGACTCAGTGCAACTATGTTAGAATGAGGTCTGTATTTATAAAGATTGCAAGGATCCTCAGTAGTAAACACTGTAGATGTCTGCTGTGATCATGAAAGTAGATGTGCTTTTCATTGTCAGTGGTTACTAAGGTTCTCCCAGCCACTTTCTATCCCTGGGAAAGTTGAGGCTGAAGGTATCCTCCTTAATACTGTATCCAGTTTGTAGGCCTGCTCCAGTAGCAGTGACATTAGTGCCTAATGAATGGTGCCACGCAGTGGCCATGGAGCTGAGACCTGAAGTGTGGACTCATATAAAGGGACTATTACTCTGGAGTTCTAGGTGTTAATAGCACTGACACTGGGGGTGTAGGCACATTCATTGCCCTGTGGGTAACAGTATGTAAGGTACAGGTACTTGTGAAGTGGATGGGGAGCCAAAAACAGGAGCACAGGTGTGCATAGAACTGTAATGGCTCCAGGGTGGGGTCAAAAATCTCTCGATGGCCGGGCTCAGTGCTCAGCCTGTAATCCTAGCATTTTGGAGGCTGAGGCAAATGGATTGCCTAAGTCTGCAGGTTCTAGACCAGCCCAGGCAAATTGGAAAGACCTCATCTATACAATAAATAAAAAACTAGCCAATTGTGGTAGCACACATCTGTGGTTCTAACAACTTGGAAGCCTGAGGCAGAAGGATTGCTGGAGCCCAACAGGTTGATGCTGCAGTGGCTGTGAGTGTGCCACTGTACTCCAGCCTGGGAGACTGACTTAGACTCCAACTCAAAAAATATAAAAAAAATAATAAAATGTAAAAAGAAAATCTCTTTATGGTGGGTGAACTGGTGCCCAGAGAATGGACATACTCAGAGAAAGTTGACTTTAAGGCTCAGAGTGTGAACTAGCTCACTGTGGTGCTAGTTCAGATTTTTGAGGCATGAGTAGGTACAGTGCAGCAACAGAAACCGGGACTGAAGTACAGGTGCTCATGGGACAGCTGTGGCTCGAGGGTTAGGGTATACAGAGAAGAGGGAGAAGTGATGACTCCAATGTAAAGAGGCACAAGCTGGCAGCTTCTCAAGGAATTCTGGCGTAATTTTGTTTTGGTTTATTTAAACAGCTTTCTTTAATTGATTTAACAGCTATTGAAAATGATTCTATCTAAAGGAGTTTTAGGATCTTGAGTGTGCTATACTGACAGACACAAAAATCTTCCACAATATTTAATCAACTAGAGTATAATTCCATCCACCAATTGATGCATATATTTTCATAAATAGTTGGTGTTTCTTTAGTATATGGTATGCTATAATGTATAACTGTAAGATTTTTAATTTTAATATGTAACAATAGAGTCTAACATAATTTCTAATAGCAAGTATTCTAAACTTGCCTTATTTCTTCGCCTTCATTTGCCTTAAATTTATTAAGTATTTCATTCTCTTTTGATTTAATTACAGAAATCTAACTCATGTAATTACAAGTAAGATATATGAACACCATATACCCTATGTACTTCTTTTTTTTTTTTTTGTCAGTTGGAGTCTCACTCTGTTGTCTGGGCTGGAGTGCAGTGGCACACCCACGGCCATCTCAGCCTGGACTTGCTGGGAATGGGTTATCCTTCTGCCTAACCCTGCCAAGTAACTGGAACTACAGATACATGCTACTATGCCTGGCTTATTCTTTTATTTATTGTAGAAATGAGTTTGCACCCATTTGTCCAGGCCGGTCTTGAACCTCTGAGGTCAAGTAATCCTCTTGCCTCTGCCTCCCAAACTGCTGAGATTACAGGCTTGAGCCACTGCGCCTGGCTGACAACTCTGTACTTCTAATGCTTTTTTTTTTTTAACAGACAACATCTAAAAGTAATGTTACATATACTCCTTGGTAGTAGGACAAATTGAATAACATTATGCTATAATATAGTTACTTATATTTTCTTTATTCAATATGTATGAACAACTATGAACCAATATCTGTGCTAGGTACTGGAGATCAATGAAATTTAGTGTATGACAAAGCAGATGGTATCTATAATTATTACCATAATGTATGCAATGAATAGACATAGCATCATGCTATAAATGAGTCAAATAAATATATCTAAATTGGTCAAGGATATGTAAGAAAGATATTCTAAAACCTAATATTTCATCTGGGTCCTCTGAGAGGGACCTGGAATGGTTTTGAAAAAGTGGTGAGTTAAGATGTCTTGTGATTTGGAGACCTTGTAAGAAGGTTGATGTGACATTAACATTAAGAAAAATAATAGATTGGAGCAAAATTCTAGAGGCAGGCCACTTCATGATGGCCAGTTAAGAATTTGAGCCTAAATCTCATCCATGAAATAATTTTTAATCAAGTGAGTGACACTGAGAATTTCATTTTATGACATCACTCTGGTTGCTTAAATGCAGGACATAATTTACCTAACTTATTTAGGATCAATTATAAAGCTATTGCCTAATGTAAGCAAGAAATGATGTCTTGAATTAAGAGAGAATATTTAAGATTAACCATCAATATATAGGATCCCAAATTTTGTATGTACTGCCTGCCCACCCCTCCAACATGCAAAAATAAATCAAATTTTATAATTGCTATAAGGATTAGAATCCTACAAGAGTCAAATTTAGCTGTAGTTTTATGTAAAGCCCTTAGAAAGGTAAAGCTACATGACATATTACAAAAAATAAGGAATCATGCTTTTTTCAAAACTTTTTAAAATGGAGGTTTAAAAGTCAGCTCTGCATACTTATACTCCTCAGATTTTGATTTCAAATGATGCTATTTGCAGTTCTATTGCAATTGGTTTTCCATTGGCTTTTTCCTCTGACATCTTATATTCACTATTCTGTTGAATTTACTGATTCTGTCTTATTTTTTGCCTTGTTGATTCAAGAAATGACAATTCTATTCTCCTCATTTAAATTATTTAAACTATTATTTGTTCATAATGACTTGCTTAACTAGAGTATAAATTTGTAATACCATGAATTATACTATTAAGAAGATCTCTTAGGACATTACATATTCTTTTCCATTTATTTATTTACTGATAAATATTTACTGGATGTCTATACAAAAAATACTTAATGATTTTTGTACAGATTTTTAATTAGTCTTGTGAGATATAACAGGCTTAACTATGAATTTAAAGTAATTTGGTATTATTTTTTGCATTGATTATGACTATACATAAAAAATAAAATGATGCATTATGATAATCTATCCAAGTTGTCTTATTACAGAATTTGATAGTTTTGTTATTTATATATAGTGCTAAGGTCTAGAAGTTCTGTGTGGAGCTAACATGTTGCAACCATAATTTTCTCATGGCCCCTTGCATTTTCTGATTTCTCAGGGTGTAAATAACAGGATTCAGTAAGGGTGTGATAACAGTATAAAATACAGCAAGAATTTTATTGCTTGCCAAACTACTGAATGGCCAGGCATAGATAAAGATACAAGGTCCAAAGAACAGAGTCACCACAATGATATGAGCAGACAATGTAGACAGAGCCTTGGAGAGGCTGCCAGATGACTTTTGGTGCACAGTTACCAGGATGATAGTGTAGGAGATAAGCAAGAGGATGAAACAAATAAAAGAGAGCAGTCCACTGTCAGCAATGACAAATAATTCCAGGGTATATGTTTTGACACAAGCAAGCTTGATCACGAGGGGAAGGTCACAGAATATATGGCTTATGACATTGTGGTCACAGAAGGGTATGTTCACTGTTAAGACCATCTGGCTTGTGGTGTGTATAAAGCCAATTGTCCATGAAAGGATCACAAACCCATTCATCAGTCTGTGGCTCATTATGGTTCTGTAGTGCAAAGGCTTACATATGGCTACATATCTGTCAAAGGCCATGAGTATCAAAAGAGTCATCTCAGCCCCACCAAAGAAGTGCATAAAGAACATCTGGGTCATGCAGCCCCACACAGAGATGGTTTTGTGCTCAGCGAGCAGGTCTGTGATCATCTTGGGTGTTGTGGTAGTGGAGAGACACATGTCCAAAAAGGAGAGATTCCCAAGGAGAAAGTACATGGGAGAATGAAGGGTTGAACTACAAGTCACTGTGACCATAATGAGAATGTTTCCCACCACAGTCGCACCATAGATCAAGGAAAATATTATGAAGAAGAAAACTTGAAGTTCCCATCTTCCAGAAAATCCTAGTAAAATAAACTCAGTCACTACAGATCCATTTTTAAGATCCATTTACTCATTGCAGAAAGGCTCCAGAAATTCCTCAGATACAAAGAGAATTTTTAAAGAAAGCCAAAGTTAGCATCAATATTTTCTTATTTCTGTAAGTTGTGATAATAGTTGATGATATGAGCGCATAGAATTTTAAATATATCAACACATGCATTTTTATAAACTGAGATTTTTTTATGTATCATTTATTAAATTCTACTAAACTTGCACTTCTTGAGATTATGTTGTGCCAAAATATGAGAAATATAGGACTTAGAAAATGAGAAATTACATTGTTCTATATTTACGAAACAATTTATGAAGGTCATTTTATGTTTCTAAAACAAGTCAGCAAAAAATAAGTACATACAAAAATTAGAGGTTAATTTCACATGGGAGAAAGTATTTGAGTTCACTAAAATAATTTTACTTTAAAATTTTTTGGTAGTATACAGGGATACCTAATTTTATGTGTTTAACTTTATTGTGCTTTGCAGATATTGAATTTTTTAAATAAATTAAAGGTTTGTGACACAGTTGTGTCCAGCAAATCTGTGGGCACCATTTTTGCAACACTATATGCTCACTTTATGTCTCTGTGTCTCATTTCATAATTCTCAAAATATCTCAAACTTTTAAATTATTACCTTGTTTGTTCTGCTGATTGTGATCATTATTCTTTGATGTTACCATTTTAATTATTTTTGAGTGTCTATACAAGCTGGTTGACTTAATTGGTAAATGTTGTATGTGTTCTAACTATTCCATCGACTAACTGTTCCCTCATCTCTCCCTTCTCCTTAGGCCTCCCTATTCTTTAAAACACAACAATATTGAAATTGCCAATTAGCAGCTTCTGCAAGGTCTTTGAGTGTTCAAGTGAAATAAATAGTTGCATGTCTCTCACTAATTGAAGAAAGCATGGGGAAAGCTGAGATATACCCAAGGCTAGACTTCTTGTGCCAAACAGTAGCCAAATAGTAAATACAAATTAAAAATTCTAAAAGGAAATTAAATGTGCTACTATAGAGAATACATGAACGATAAGAAAGTGAAACATCTTTATTGTTGATATGAAGAAAGTGTGAGTGGTGGTCTGGATAGAAGATCAAACCAGCCACAACATTTCTTCAAGCCAAAGTATAATGCAGAGCAAGGCCCTATGAGAGTAGTGAGTAAGGTGCAGAAGAAAAGCAGGAAGCTGGCGGATGTTGGTTCATGAGGTTTACAGAAAGAAGCCATCTCCAGGACATAAAAGTACAGACCAAGCACAAAGTGCTTATGTATAAGCTGCAGCAAGTTATCCAGGAGATGTAGCTAAGATAATCGATAAAGGTGACTACACTCAACCAACAGCAGATTTTCGATGTAAATTGAACAGCCCTTTATTGGAAAAAGATGCTATCTAGGGCTTTCATAGCTAGAGAGGTGAAGTCAATGCCAAGTATCAAAGCTTTAAGGGACAAGGTGACTCTCTTGTTAAGGGGGAGTGCAGCTGGAGACTTTAAGTTGAAGCCAATGCTCACTTATCATTCTGAAATACCAGCCTCTTAATAATTCTGATAAATATACTCTGCCTATACTCATTTTCATAAGCGAGACAGCAAAGACTGGATCACAGCACATTTGTTTACAGCATGGTTTGCTGAATATTTTATGTCCACTGTTGACACCTACTTGTCAGAAAAAAGATTTGAAAATATTGCCGCCCATTGACAATGCACTTGGTCACCCAATAGCTCTGATGGAGATGTAGAAAGAGATTAAATTTGTTTTCAAGTCTGCTATCACACTATCCATAATGCAGCTTTTGGATCAAAGAATAGTTTTCATTTTCTATTTTATTATTTAGAATATTTGTAAGGATATAACTGCCATAGAAAGTGATTCTTCTGATGGTTTTGGGCATAATAATTTGAAAACTTTCTAATCCACCATTTAGATGTCATTAAGAACTTTCATGATTCATGGGAGGAGGTCAAAAAATCAACATTAGTAGGAATTTGGAAGAAACTGATTCTAACCTTCATGTGTGACTTGAAAGGTCCAGACTTTAGTGGAGGAAGTAATTGCAAATGAGGTGAAAATAGAAAGAGATCTAGAATTAGAGGTGGAGCCCAAATATATGACTGAATTGCTACATTCTCATGATAAACTTTTAACACATGAAGAGTTGCTTCTAATGAACGAGCAAAGAAAGTGCTTTTCTGAGATGGAATCTACTCCTAGTAAAGATGCTATGAACATTGTTGAAAGAACAACAAAAGATTTAGAATAATCCATAAACTTACTTGATAAAGCAGTGACAGAATTTGAGAGGATTGATTGTCATTTTGAAAATGAATAAAATACTCTCAAATAACATCAGAGAAATCTTTTTGTGAAAAAGAGGCAATTGATGTGGCAAACTTCATAGTTCACTTATCTTAAGAAATTGCCACAGCCATGCCAGCCTTCAGCAGCAACCACCCTGATCAGCTAGCAGCCATCAACGCTGAGGCAAGACCTCCTCCGGTAAAAATATTACCACTCACTGAAAGCTCGGATGATCTTTAGCTCTTTAAACATTAAAGTGTGTACATTTTTAGACATAACACTATTGCACACTTGATAGACTATAGTATAGTGTAAACCATAGCTTTTATATGTGTTGGGAAACCAAAAAATTTATATGACATTTAATTGTGATATTTGCTTTATTGCAGTGGTCTGGAACAAAACCTGCAATATCTTCAGGTATGCTTGGACTGGTACCTTCAAGAAACATGTACCTAGCCTCATATCTTTTTAAGCCTGTTTTCTCAAATCTTCTGTGTTGCCATTATTCACAGTGAGAAGCTTGTGTGCTGTGTAAATGTGTATGAAAAGGAGGTTTAAAGGAAATAATAAAGTGATTCAGTCCTAACACAGGTTCTGCTTGGGTTGTGATGTATAATACTAAATCATCTTAACTTAGGTTTTAGACATTGTTTATAGGATCTAGAATGATCAAAAGCAGTTAATAACAATTTGGTGATTAGTATGTTGCAGATGCCATTTGAGGTGTTTTACAGATGCATTAATGCATTTAATGCTCACAACAATTCTCTAATATAAATAGTAGTATTGTCATTATATCACATGTAAGAAAATTATGGTATAAAAATATTTAACAACTTATTCATGGGTAGACAGCTAACAAGGATAAGAGCTAGTATTTCAAGCTGAGTCAGTTTGCCATCAGAATAGAGGTTTATACCAAGACACCATAGTGCTTCCAAAATTAAAGGGATTTATGTTTACAACCATATTTCTAATTAAGTATTGATTTTATTGATATATTAATTCCTTTGAGGCATGAAATAAATATGTCAGGATCACTGCATGTTACAATTACCTGTGCTGTTTTTCTTTTTTTTTCCAATGGGAATCATATTTGATTTTACTGAATTGCTTCCTTGGTAAACAGTTGTCTTAAGTCTTTAGCCAGTGGAAAGATAGAACAGGTTTTTTATTTTTCATTTTTGGTTGTTTTTTTTTTCTGGAGTTGGAGTCTCACTCCTGTTGCCCAGGCTGCGGCACAGTGGCACACTCACAGCCACGCCAGCATCGACCTGCTGGGCTCCGGTGATCTTTCTGCCTCAGTCTTCAAAGTAGCCAGAAATACAGGCACACACTAACATGCCTGGCTAATTTTTTATTTATTGTAAAGACAAGGTCTCGCTAAGTTGTCTGGGCTGGTCTTGAACCCACGGGCTCAGGCTTTCCACTCACCTCGGCCTCCAAAGTGCTGGGATTACAGGCTGAGACACCGAGTCTGGCCTTTTGCTTTTTTACAATTGAAAAAAAAGTGTGACTCAACTGAATATATACACATGAACAGTTTGGCCATCTATTTCAGTTAACAGGCAGGGTTTTTAAATGTGTTATTAAGTCCTATTTAGAGAAGGAAAGTTCTGTTCTTTGAGAAAGAGAAAGAATCCAGAGAGTATGGTGCTTGGAAGTAAAGCTACACCTACTGAATGTCACTTTATCTATCCAGTGATAAAGTTTTTCTTTCTCTCTTCCATTTGTATTGAAGTTGGACGGCAGCCTGCATAGAATTTCTTTTTCCTTTAAAGATATCGTTTTCTGCCTAATTGAGTCCAGCTTCATTTACACCCTGAAAAGGACTGTTTTCGCTTACAGGCTCAAGAGACTCTTTCCCTCAATATCCAAACGCCTGCAACAGCCCTATGGGATATTTGAGTAAATGTAAGTGAAAGCTCCCTGTGTTTGTCTCCGTGTTTCCCATAAACAAAAGTTTAACTCAGGACACTCTGGGCATACTTAAATAAATTTCTCTGTAGAACTGTCTTCCTGATAAGATCTGAAACCCACTTTTTGGCTTACAACAGTGTTCATCAGTCATGCACTGTTTTTCTTATACAGAATGCATCAATACCTCCTATTTAAAGAGTTTACAATCTAGACAGGCATGACTATCAAACAAAAAATAGCAAAAAAACCATGTGAAAAAACATTTAACTTAGTCCAAGGTGTATGCAAAAAAGTTTTAAGAGTTTTAAAAGAATAAAGGACAATTCCAGGTGTCACTTTTAGATATGATTTCAGGCTTGGATGTTGGTATCTTCAAAACACTTAAAAAACAATTTTTATGGTCAGTAAACAAAAAAATAAGGTGTGGAGAATGGGGGAGTATCTATAAAAATAAATTAGCTAATAGCATTGAATAGGAAGAGTGATGGATTTAGAAAAGTGAATGAATTAAGAGACTGAAATGAGTCACAAGTGTTTATTCTCTTTTCTCCAATGACCTGTAATTCTCTCCTTATTTTAATTTCCCTTTTCCAAAGTATCCTGTCATCATTATCTAAGCTTAATTCTCTCAATTGTTCTTCTATTGTAAATATTTTAAAGAAATGGGTAATGTATACAAAGAAAAGAAAATAAAGATAAAATGAGCAATTCCTAAAGGTCAACCTGCAGGAGTGCTCAGTGATGGGCTGTGGCCCTGGAAGAATGCACAATGACAGCCCTCA